CAGATCTAGGAATTGGTGGAGTTGGGAGTTGAATCCAGTCTGTCCATGCACTCACCTGGGCCTTTCCCTTAGGGGGTTGGAGAAACCTGGCTTCAGATCGCTCCCACCGTGCTGCTCTCTAGCTGCTGGATGAGGCACTGAGCCCCTGAGATTCTGATTCTCCCGCTGTGAAGGGGGCACAGTACCCCCCCACACCCAAGGGTCAGTGAAAGGATTATAGGAGATTATGCATGTAAAGTGCTTTCATGTGTCGGAGGGCCACTGAAGAATGTTCTCTCCTGGAGGTGCTAGCCCTTCAGCACGGGCATCCCGGATCTTAGTGCCAGTCTGTTTCTCGTCGGTTTATGCAAGACACTTGAGGTGGTTTTGCTAAACAAGAAAGAATAAAATCACAGTCTGGCAGGATGAATCGAAGGGAGAGCCAGGAAAGCAAATTCAGAAGTAGCCTGTCTGGGAGATCATAGCCTGCCTCACACGCCCTCAGTGGACCAAACCCAAGACCCAGGGCCACCCTGAAGCTGCTGCATTTGAGTTGGTGTCCTAGGATGTTTCTGAAGTGAAAAAGGGTGCTGCCTGATGCAGGAAGGCCCCTCCTGCATGCCTGCTACTGGACTGTCCCTTGGCAAATATTCCAGAACACATTGCTGCTGGAGGTTGACCTCTTTCCGAGGAGGAGTGACTTAGAAAATGGCCCCCAGAGATTTCAAGTGAGGGGAAAAACTACTCTTCACACAAAAATATGTGTGCCTTCCATCTTTCACTGGTTTCTAGAATTGTTGGGTCCTGTCAGGTCTCTCTGACATTGGAGGAGAACTTCATCATGTTAAAATGGAAACTACATCTAAACACTAGGGAGACCTCCACCCTCCCCTAGAGGAACTGCAGTGAGCGGTGCTATTGCCTGGATGCAGAGGCTGCCTTGGTGCATGGCATCTCCACGGCGGGTCACTACTGTCCCCTGTCCAAGCCACCAGCCCAGATCACTGACCCATCTGGGCCCTACGGGGCTCACTGGGACAGCCAAGGTCAGCAGCTTAAGGAATGTTCTTCCTACTCTGGTGTTGCAGCTTACACAAGGGCAAGAGACCTAGGACCTTGGGGATCCCGGCTGTCCCCTGATGTCCGGCCAGTCCTCGCTCTCCACTCTGGTGTCCCCAAGTGTGGGGATAACAGCACAATCTTGACACAACCTTTTAGCTCATTGGTTAGTTGTTCTTTTCTAACGATACTGACAACTTGGCCCTTTGACCTATTGACTATTAATGATAATTGCCATTATTCCATCTGTAGAGCATGGATCAGTGAATATTACATTTCCTGGGGGATTTATTTAATTTTCGTGAAAGAAGGCATTTTGTCACGGGTGGAGGTGGAGGGCTGCTGGGGTTCAGAGCGGATGCTAGCAATATCAATGGCAAGTCAGCAATGGTTGCAGTGTCCTTAGAGAGAGAATTGTGTCCCTGTTCCCTGTATCCTTCTTTTGGGAAGGCCCGAGCAGTTTGTCAGGTTGCTAAGCTGTCTTTAGAGTGCCCCAACTCTGATGGTGGCTCACCTCAGCCTGCACCCTGGACCAGGAGAACGTGGCTGGCGTCACGATTTTGCCCTGAAGCAGAATCTCTTCAGTCAACCTTGGGTGCTGCTCCGCCTTGACAGCTGCTTTCCGTGCCCCCTGCTGGTTCCTCAGCATCTCCTTCTTCCTCCCAGAGGATGGGGCCAACACTAGTTCTGATCTCTAACCCCACCCCACCAAGGGCAGCCCCCCATTTCTAGCCCACACCAAAAAGATCCCCACTTTGAACTCCAGACTTTTCCAATAATAACCACTCCCAACTTTCTCTGTTTGGTTATCTTAATCAAAGTTGTGATAAACCAGAGCTATTGTGCTCAGAAGGTGGACATTGCTCCTTTCCAAAATGACACATTTTCATTTTAAAAACTCCTCCTATAAACAGGAATAAGATTCGGAGTCTCTGGCTGGCCTGGGAGTGATTATTTTGAAACAAACTTCTTCATTTCTACAAATCACAGTTGGATTTTGCCTAAGGCGCATTCAGCCCTTTTCGTAGGAGATAAAAAACATCCTTTTCTTATTTGTTCCTTCGTCCAACAACATTTCTTACAAGCCATCTTCAAGTGATTGCTTTGGAGTTCTGGGTCCCTGTCTGTAAATTGGAATGACATGGTTTCCTTTGCTGAGCATTTAGAATCCATTTTAGCTCCTGTCAAATTTTCCCCCTTTCAAGTCAATGAGCTTCATGAAGGCCAGGATTTTTGACTTTTGAGTTCAATGCTAATATCTCAACTCTGAGAATGTGCTTGGCACATAGAAGGAGCTCAGTAAATGTTGATTGAATGGATGATTGTTTGATTGGTTCCATGATGACATTACCAAGACAATTCAGGCTGAGTTGGTCCACTCTGCAAACAGACCCTCCGCTGGGCTTGGTAGGATTCATCTTTCCCTGCTCTTCAGGTGCCCATGTGTGCCTCTGGACACCGACCCTTCAGGGCAGTCTGTTTGGGTTAGAATTACCCATGTGTTGATTGTCCCCATTGGATGGCCTGCTTCTTAGGGGAAGGGCCACTTTTTTACTCTTGTTTTTATCCCCAGGGCCTGGAGAACTGTCAGTGCTCAGGAAATGTTTACCAAATTGAAGTTTAGTTATATAGATACAACTGTAGGTTTTAGTTTGTGCTCAGTACTTTTCCCAGAATGATCCAAAAGGTCTGTGCAAAATTCCCGGTACCATGTCCATCAGATACTTTAGCACTTGTCCAGGGTTTACTATCTTATCAAGATTACAGGAAGCTTAAGTCCTGAGCAACTGTTGCAAAAACAACAGCAGATAATGACTCCAAAATATGGAGGGAAATTGCAAAATTGAAAATAGTAAATATGTAATGAGGTGTTTTCAAAGCATACCATTGTGGGAACTTTTTACTTGCTAAATTTAATGTTCATAAACATTGCGTTACATTTGAAAATAATTTGTGGCTTAGATTTTTCTCACTTCACAAGCATTCCTGAGTTTGCACAATGACTGCCGAGGAATCTAAGCCAACCCTAAATTAAATGATTACATAAAGCCAAATACATGTAAAAGCAAAACTATAAAAATCTTTTAAAAACTGTTGATAGCAGAAAAAATAGTATAGATGTGAATGTATTTGTTAAAATATATGTTTGATTGATATGGGGTGACGTCCTCTAAAAGTAAGTGCACTGGGGCCCATAAATATTTCAAAGCAATCTGTCAAAATACTACAGAATTCCTGCATAATATGCTTTAGTAGAGTTTCCAAAAATTAGAAATAACTAGATTTCCCCTTTAGGATTTTTAGACTAATTCGCATAATGTCATTTGTATAGTCAGACATCTTGTCTGATCAATGTAAAATAATCTCCTTGACCTTTGATGATTTTGCTCATTGAATGCTCTGTTTTTTTGAATCTAATCTTTCATCTTTTTCTTTCAGGAATCCTGTTCACGATGCTGGTATTTGGACCAGCCTGTGGATTTATCCTGGGCTCTTTCTGTACCAAAATCTATGTGGATGCAGTCTTCATTGACACAAGTAAGGAACATATCTGAATTTCTAACTGTCACCTACAAAGCAATTCCTCTCTCATAAAGGATGCTTTAGCCTGTGGGTCCCAAAACCTCTGTTCTAAGACAGAGCCTTAACACATCCACCTCTGTAACTGGTGGGACCTCCTGACATTAGATGCGGAGATCATGAGTGTTTGTTCATGAGGGCCTGACTCAAGTCTGGGTCCTGCCAACATCTGCCTATAGGCTGAATACCCCCAGTAGTTGATTCTGCTCCTCAAATCTGTATTTTCCTCATCTGTAAAGTAAGGGTAACAATAGTTATATCTGCCTCACAGAGGTATTTTAAGAATTACATGAGAGGATAGAGGTAGAAATGCCTGGCATGTACTCATTGAATGTTGGCCAGTTATATGAGGACTGTACTTTCTTTTCTTTTTTTTTTTTTTTTTTCCTTTTTGTCTTTTTTCGTGTCCGGCAACGGCCCGCAACCCTCGGTGCTGCACCCGCTCCTCGCTCAGCCAGTGAGCGGGAACCGGTCTGTATGTGGGATCCGAACCCTCGGCGGGAGCGCCAGCACACTCCCAAGTAGCGCACTGTAGCAGTGCGCCACCGGGCCAGCCCCGAGGACTGTACTTTCTAAACTAAAAGTTGGAGCATGTGTTTTGGAAATGCAAATGTACAAATGGGGTCCATGTGACAGAATATTTGAAAGTCCTTTTATAAGACACTTTGTGGTGGACTTTGTGAGGAAATATCCACATTCAAAACCATTTGAAACAAAACGTGTTGTGTTCTTAGCAAGAAGAGCAAGTGTATTTCTCAGATTGCTCTGAGTCCCCCAATCTGTGATTCTGTGATTGCACAGCATGGTAGTCAGGATAGGCTGGGTTGTGCTGCAGTGACTAACAAGCCCCACTTCTAAGTGATTTTATGCAACCAAAGTTTATTTCTCAGTCACATTACCTGTCAGTGCAAGTCAGTGGTGTTGGACAAGAGAGTGGGACTTGGCTCCTCATGGTCACTCCAGGGCCCAGGCTTGCAGAACTGTCATCCTGACCTCCATTTGCACAGTGGCCAAGGCAGGAAATCAGCCTGTGGTGAGTAGCACACTGGCCCTTGAAGCTCTGCTCAGAAATGACACACATTGTTTCCATTCATGTTTCCTCAGCCAGAGCAAGTCACCTAGTATATTAGTTTTCTCTTGCTATGTAACAAATGCCTACAAATGCAGTGACTTTTTAACAACTGGCATTTCTTATCTCACAGTTTTTTCTGTGGGTCTGGAATACAGGAGCAGCTTAACTGGGTGGTTGTGGCTCAGGGTGTCTTATGAGGCTGCAGTCAAGGTGGTGACCTGGTATGTGGTCATCTCAGGGCTCCCTCCCGTGGAATTCTCTACAGGGCTGCCTCACTGTGGCTCCCTTGCTGCAGACAACCCACTAGAGGATGACAGAGAGCGCCTGAAGCAGGAGCTCTGGTCTTTTTATGACCTAATCTCAGAAGGGGCGTCTCATTACTGCTGCTGCGTTGTGCCTCTGAGCAGCCAGTCACTTGTTCAAGTCCACCCTCAAGGAGAAGGGATTATTATGCAAGGATGTGAATACCGGGGGGCGAGATCTTGGGGACCATCTGCGATGCTACCAACCCTATGTGGTCACAACCCTGCCATGTGCCCAAAAGAGGACACTATTTCTGTATAATTTAGCCAGTAGCCAAGCCACGTTTCCTTTCTCTCAGAAACAGAGGGGAGGAAGCCATTCTAGCTTCTCCTTCTCATGCAGATCTATTCCCAGGATCAATAAGAACTCTCAGTCCCCAGGTTCTCAATCCATCATCCCTTGACAGTGCTACATTTACTAATTCGCCCCAAAGATATAATGTGGTTTTAAATCCAATCAAGCTGCTTTGTGATTCACTCCATTAATCCCACTGATTTTTTTACTTGTAGCTAATAATGTTACAAATTTCTAAGTGGGGGGAAAAAACATCAGAGGCAGCCTTATTTATTTATACTTTTAAAGTGCTGGGTCTGTTCAGGAGGTGATTGGATGCTGCTGCTTTCCTTTGAAACCCAGGCCTAGAGAGGAGGCTGAAGTGTGGGCTGGTAAGGGAACCACGCAGGAAGTAAGTCAGCTGCCATCTCGCTCATATAGACAGAAGAGCCAGCTTCCGCCGCTGCACCAGAGGCAGCACAGGATGGGGATAGCAAAGTGGATCAGAGGTGGGGAGTACTTCCATGCAGTGGGCAAGCTACCCTGGAGGGGAAGCCAGCTGGCCAGGCAGCCTGCTTTGCTCTCAGCTTATCTGCGGTGGCCTCCTTGAACCAAGACCTGTGAGTGACCAGAATCTCTGAGTCAGAAGGAACCTCAGACATCATTCTCTTCCAGTTCTTTCATTTTACAAATGAGGAAACTGAGTCCCAGAGAGGGAAAGGGATATGCATGATCAAAGGGGTGTGCCTATATAAAACCCAGATCCCCGAGCTAGTGTGTGGGTATTTCCACTTCCTGATACCCCTCACCAACTCCCTCCTGAGAATGAAATAGCATCTTTTCTCAGTGCCCGGAATGACCAGTGGGTAGACAGGTGGCTGGGGAGGGCTTAGCACATCCACTCACAGTCCCCGCAGTTTGCTGAGGCTGTTCCTTCAGCCTGGAATGCTGTTCCCATCCCATTCTGTTGAACATCTTTGTTCGCCCTTCAAGGCCCAGTGTGAAGTGACATCATCCACAGTTCCAGGCTTATAGGCAGTTTGATGCCTCCATGTACATAAGACGAATGGGCACTTTTCTGTTCTTTCGGCATCGTGCTGATGGCAGCTTTCCCCACCAACAGGTTGACAGTGAACTTTCCGATCTGTTCCTGAGGAAAGAAGGACGGATGTGAGTCCTGGTCTTTGTGTGCATCCTTCCTGAAGGTGCTGGAGGGCTGGTGCTGCTCTCTACCAGTAGAGGGCAGAAGAACATCACTTATTCCATTAGGGAGTCAGCCACAGAATTCTAGTTTCCTGCAATTTTATTTGTTTCTAATCTCGTGACTGAAGCTTGCCGATGTTGGCTATATTTTGAGGAGGGAGTTTTTGATCTTCAGGGCCTCCCTATCTTCTCCTCACTTACCCTAAAACAGTCCTGAAACTGAGGAAGCTTGGTTGAAGCCTGTGAGAGGTGCAGCTGGGGTAGGGGAGGGGTTGGGTGCAGGAAAGGGCCAGCTGTAGGGGCAGAGGCACCATGTGGCAGGGGGTCTGGAGGCTCTGCTGGCTGCTCTTAGACCCTGGGTTCTGCAGCTGCCACCTTTAGTCTGTGTCTAATCCCTGTGTGGCCCCCTTTGCTCTTCTTAGGAAGAGTAGATTCCTCCTCTGAGAGCTGGGGGAAGAAATGGTGGGGCTTCACAATTTCTTTTTTATAACATCTTTGTTAAACTGAAACCCAGAGGAGAACAGAACCTTGAAAAAAGAAGGACTTGGTAGCAGAGTATGCTTCTCATCATGGAATTGACCAACCTTAAATTAACAGCATGGTTTTATTAGAAGATTAGTAATAACAGGAGCCACGAATTGATCCTTTATTAAAGCTATATACAGATAGCCTCTTTGGAAGCTCAGACATTCCCATGGGAGTGTAGGTCCTGCTCTTAGATAAGGCGTGATCATGCAGTGGTTAGGAGTCCTGGCTCTGTGGAATCAGACCTCCACCATCTGAATCCCAACTACACCCCTTACAAGTTTTGTGATCCTGGGAACATTGCTTCTCATGGTCTGTGTGTGGATGACGTGAGTCAATCATGCAAAGCACTTACCACAGTGCCTGGCAGATAGTAAGCATACAGTAAATACTAGGTAGCATGAAGCGTCTGAAAGGCTAACTAATTCCCATGGCTAGTAAGGAATAGAGCCAGGATTCATCCCCAGGTCTGTCTGACCTCAAATCCCCAGTTGTAATGGAGCAGCTTGCTTCCCTGAAACCTCTCCAGGAATTTAACCAGAAGGCTGTCTCCTTCCATGGACAAAGGCCTTGCTGAGATAACCTCACCTCCCCAGCACATTTATGCAGACATGTCCTGAGGCACACACCAGCCGGCCCTGTAGATGGCTGCATAGTGTTTGCAGCTGGAATAAGATATGCCCATCTGTTTGCTTCACAGAAAAGGTCAACAAGCTGAGAGCCTCCTGCTCTCTCTGCCGTTCTGAGGGCTGGCTGCTGCCGCCACGAGCCATTAGCCTGACGGCCGGGATGCTGCATGTTCCAATATCACCCTCCACTCAGCCCCTCCCTGGCTCCAGATTCTAATTAGGTTTGCAACTTAATGATACTCTTGGAATTCTTGAGTCTTATAGCAAAAGTTTGACAAAATAGGTTAAACAAATAAGTAAGCGAACTAAAAAAAAAAATGCCTAGAGAGACATAGTAGCCCTTGTACATTCATGCGGCTCAGGAGTAAAAAGTAAATGTCCCCAGTTTGCTTTGATCTGCTTTTCTCACAGGCTCAGGTATCCTCAGGGTGGGTGGGTGGGTTGGCTGGTTAGTTTTAAACTTGTTTAACCCTGTTCCTAGTAATTTTTCTTTTGACCTTGGAAATGGGTAGAAATCTCAATGAGCCCCATATATGGGTGCACTTGACCTTCAGCAGAGGGAGCAGACGGCTGTGAACAACTGACTCAGCTTACTCAGTACAACCAACAAACAACAAAAACAGTCCAGAAGTCAGATGCCAAGAGTGGAAGGGTTAGAAAAATGGATCTTGTAAAGGAGAGAAGCCTTCTGTGCCTATCAACATCTATGCAAAGACAAGCCCCAAATATGCCCGGCCCCATGACAGGCAGACAGTTCCATCATGGTTCTCAGCGTGTGGCTTTCCTTGCTCCACTCTGCTTCCATCCTCTACCATCCCCCCACCAGCCTCACCTGACAGTGAATCAGCCTCTTTCCTCAGTGCTTGCAGTGACCAAGGGGAAGACAAGTGGCTGGAGGACTTGGCCTGTCCACTCAGAGTCCCCTGAGTATTCCATGCCTTTGCTCAGGCTGTCCCTTCAGCCTGGGATACTGTCCCCACCCCATTCTGTTCAACATCTTTCTTCATCCATGTGTCTGGTTTCATCGGCAGTTCGATGCATCTAAGTAAATGAGACAGATGGGTGCTTTTCAGTTTTGTTCTGGGCATCTTACTGAAATGAGCCTTCACCAGAAGGCTGAAACTGCAGCCAGTTTTTAAAGTCAAGACACTAACTAGAACCAAATAGAGAAATAAAGAGGTTTCGAAGCCTTGCTCCCTATCTGTACCTAAAACAATGCTTTTGCTATGCCAAGCCTGCCCAGGACTCCTGTTGTTAAAGAGCACAAATTTCTATTTCCCAAGCCTTTTGTACTAGTCAGGGTACGCTGGTTATGCTGCAGTAACAAAGACCCCCCAGATCTCAATGGCTGAGAATACTGCAGGTTTCTTTCTTATTCGTGTTTTATATCTGACACAAGTCAACGGGGACGTTTTGTTCATTGTGGCCTGTCAGGTATCATCTTGGAGGAAGTAGCCCAGAGAGTCATGCACCAGCTCAGACCTACTTCTACACAGGTGCAACACGTGTCCCCTCTGCTCATATTTCATGGGCAAAATGCTGGCACATGGCCACGCCTAACTTCAGAGTGAGGGAGCCGTCATCCTGCCTGTCCTCAGAACAGGAGATTTGAATGCAGACCTTGGTAGCATCTACCACACCCTCATTTTTTGCCAGCCCACATAGAGAACTCTCCCTCACCATCAGTGACACCGAAGCAATATCTACTGAGCACTGACAGTTGCGAGGCATGAGGAGGGAGATACTCCACTGCAACTAGCCAAAGTGCCTCATAAAATTATTATTCGTTTTGGAGATGGGGAGAGAAGTACCTCAGAGAGAAGTTTCTCAGGTGAGGTTCAAGCATGAGTCATCTTCCCGAAGCCTGAAGCTTGGCTTGCTGAGCTGCCTGGTCCTGAGGGCAGCTCGTCCCAGAGCTCCTCAGCATATTATTTCTCTCCCTGCAGCTGCACTCTGGATAATTGAAATGGAGGGGAAAAATCAATGCTTCCCAAAAGAGTCACGATGATCTTCCAGAATCTACAGAATCTGCCCAACACACACCTCATGGAGCCCCCCTCCTCTTGCCCGGGTTGCAGTCCTGCCACCGACGTCATGCTCCGCCCTCCCTTTCCAGCCACAAGCGCATGTGGGCTTTCCACCCACCTGCAGGGGACGACCTCGTGCATTCACACAAACAGCCGCTGGTCCCCGGGGTGTTTTCTCACACACAGAACACTCACTAACTTCCTAACCAGAATATACTGTCTACGTGGTACCAGTTTTGTTCCCCCAAACAACTGCTAGGATTTCTCTCTCTTTACCTGCTGACATCTGCCAGCTCTTCAGTCCCCCCTTTGTGAAGCCTGTAGACAATGCAGGGAGATACCGCAGCTCCCTTTTGCTGGCAGCAGGGAAGAAACAGTGAGTGACTAGTGAAAACATTCCTGTTCAGCTACTTGAGGCAATGTTACTTCTTTTTCTCTTCCTTCATTTGCACAGAGATGTTTTCAAGATCACTTTGTGTTTTCCCATGCTGTACCCTTCTTAAAAATTTTATATATTGAAATTCCCATTCACATACATACATGCATAAAAGTGAAAATGTTGTGTTACTGTGTACAAAGAGCCTACTATGTGTCAGGTGATTCTTGCTTATTCTCTCTCGTCCTTGCAACCAGTGTAGGTTGATGTCATCTTTATTTTGCAGATGATGAAACTAAGGCTCAGGGAGGGGAAGTAACTTGCTCATGCTAGTAAGTGGCAGAGCCGGGATTCAACCCTAAGCCCTCCAGAGTGTACACTCTGTCCTTTCCAGCATGCAGCTATGCAAAAGCATCTGGTTCATTGTAGTGCTGTAGTTATTGCTGCTGAGTGTTTATCAAGGTCTCCAGGACAGAGACCAACAATGTTCCAAAGGCCACTTGTCACCTACTGGGAGAATCGGTGGTCTTGAGCCCATTGCACAGAACACAGGAATTAGTCAGTCACCCAGGGCCTTCAGGGAGCCCAAAACAAAGGCTAGACAATCAAGAGGGGCAGTTTAACAGTTCTTATGAGTGCACAGCTTGGTTTATAAATACCTGTGTCCCAATCTTCAACTTTGAGCTCAGGCAAGGAACCTAACCTTTCTAACCCTCAGCTTCCCCATCTATATAAAATAGGGATAATGAAAGTCCCTACCTTATAGGGTTGTGGGGAGGGATGACTGGAACTGTTAAGAAAGGGCTCTGCATAATGCCTAGTGCAGCGTAAGCCCTCGATAAATGGTGGCTGGCATTGTCATTAATGTTAGCTGGGCAGTCTTCAGGGAAAGCGTCTCACAAATGGTGAAGTGCTCATCTGGTGTCTGTGGTCATCACCCTTCTCAGATCTGGCCATCCATCTGCTCCATTGCTCTTCCCAGGGCTGTCCATCTGTCTGCAGCCCTATTGGTCTTAGCTCGTGTGCCATTACCCAGTTCTCCAAGAATCTCCTTCTGTGCTCCAGAGGTATGGTTTATAAATACTCCAGAGAGACATTTCTAAGCAGCTTGTCTGGGAGTGCTGCTATGCAGGGTAGTTGTAAAGAAAGAGAAAGAAAAATCTCTACGAAGGAGTAAGCCATTGTTTATGTCCTCAGGACTTTAGCTGGCAAATCAAATATCAGTACAAGGGAGCCAAACCACATGCACAGCACCTTTCAGTACACGAACTGGCTGCAAAGCCTTGTAATAGAGGGTGGTGCCAAACCACAGGCCACCAACAGTTTGAGTTAAACCATCCACTAGCAGTTTGGAAACAGAGCTACCATGGATTGAGTGCTCACAAGTGTGCCAGACACTGTTCTGAGCACTTTGTCTGGTGTGGTTCATTTGATCTTCCCAAAAACTCTATCAGAGAACTTCTGTCACCAAAATCACTGTTGTACAGATCAGTAAACTGAGGCATAGAGTTCAAATCACTGGCCTAACATCACACAGGGAAAAGGGGACAGATTTCAACTTAGGCAGCCTGGCTCCAGAGCCTTGCTCTTGACCTTCATTCTGCACCTGCCCTTATAAGCCGTAAACCTGATTTAAGACATGGGGTAGGGTGTTGAGTGGGATCTCAGATTAGGTGAGAGTAAGTGTACCTGGTGAAAGTCTACCCTTGAACAATAAACGTTTCCCTGTGTTTCCCTGAGCACACCTTGGCAGCTCTGCCAAGCCAGTCAATTCTAGCCTAAATTCACAGGGTGTCTGGTTTCTCACTGTTTTTGTTTAGACTGATGTAAACATAGGGTAGACAAGAAAATGAAGGAGGGAACACGATCAGTCTTCAGGTCTGAAACAAACAGAAGCACTGATCTGGAACAATAGGCTTCCTAGCCTAGCAGCCGTCCTCCCCACCCCAGGCCCTTCCTGGAGCCCTTGGCCTTCCTAGAGCTCTTGCATCTGACTCAAATCCTCAGCAACATCCCTAGTGGCCGCTGCATCTCACATCCACTAAGCTGTGCTCTGTCCGTTTACAGGTAACCTGGACATCACCCCGGACGACCCCCGCTGGATCGGAGCCTGGTGGGGCGGCTTTCTGCTCTGTGGTGCCTTACTCTTCTTCTCCTCCCTCTTGATGTTCGGGTTCCCACAGTCCCTGCCCCCACACTCAGACCCTGCCATGGAGAGTGAGCAGGCCATGCTCCCCGAAAGAGAATATGAAAGGCCCACGCCCAGCAACGGGGTCCTGAGGCACCCGCTGGAGCCAGACGGCAGTGCCTCCTGCTTCCAGCAGCTGAGAGGTAAGGGCGACCTCGTCTGCTGGTGGCCAGAAGAATGGGAGGGGATTGGGAGGCAGGGGGATGGGGGTAAGGGAAAGGATAGCACTCAAGACTGGGTGCTAATGATATTTGTTTTGTATGATTCGCCGCCTCTAGCCCTGTTCTCAATTTATTCCTGAGAATTAAATGACCTGACTTGTTTAATAAAAATAAAGTAGCTACCATTTATCGAAGGGACCCAGTGGCTAGTCAAGTGACACATAATAAATATAGATGCCTGTAGAAGGAAGAACGTGAAAGAGGGAGGGAGGATGCTAGACATTTTATGTAACTGTTTTGAACTCTTGGGGGCCATTTATAAGCACCTTGAAGCAGTTAAAGGACTTTTGAAGTTGGCTCCCTTTGCCTGAGACAGGCATTCTTGAAAAAGCCACCTCCAAAGTGCATTTGTTTAGATCCACTCTGTGCTCCCATCCCCTCCACTGAAGATGAGACATGTGTTCCTCTGAAAAGAAAGATTAACCCAGTCTTAATAACAGAGTCCCACTTTAGAATGCAGCAGAGCTCTCGCTATCATTTTTAAAAGAAAAAAAAAATACAGCTTTTCTGACAAACTGGTGAGGCACAAACATGACGCAGAATGAGAATGAGACGCCGCCGTCCCCCGCCCGGGTTGTCTCCACATTCGGCCCCATCCCTTAAAGGCGGGGAACTGACAGGGTAGCTGAACGTAGCCCAGCGGCCTCACAAGCCGCTCACTGTCTATCATGCCATGTACGTGTGCTGTTCCTTAATTCACATGACTCCTTGCTGAGGTCCCCGAATCCTATGGATTTTAGAAATGAGCAAGTTGCTGCAGGAAGGCAGGAGCGAGGCCACGGCACTATTGCCCAGGGAGTCTGGGTGGAGTAAGGGTGGGGGGCCAGTCACCTCTTTGCAGGAGCCAGCCTTCGGCAGCTGCAGGTGCCTTCTCCCAGAGCTCGACTTAGATATGTCCTAATGGGGAACGTCTCTTTACTGAGCTTCTGTATAATGAGGTGCACCTTCTATGGAGGTGCTTGGGAACCACGGAAACAACCTCGGACTACCTCTTGCATGGACCCCTGTTCTGCTCTTCACTCGCTCTGCCATCATTAACTTCTCCTGGCTTTGCTCCCACAATTGTAAAGTTGTAACACGGTTCCTCACTGACGGTGTTGTCTCGAGAACGAAAGCACTGCCCACAGAAGACTATCTGTTACTCGTACCAGTTGGTCCACAAGGAACCGAAAGAACTTGTGCTATTTCCAAAAAGAGACCAATTTAATAGCCTAATCGATGTTGCACGTATCAGAGGAATTGACGCTTCCAGAACCTATGTGTTGCAAGTCCTCATCTATTTCTTATGAGTTTGCTAATGGGTTTTTTCTTTGGCCATCAGTCTTTGTCCCCTGCCATGCTCTGCAGATGGCAGTGTCCCCTGAGAAGAGCTGGTGTGCCGAGAGCAGTCCCTTTGGTTACCTTCCCACTGGGACTTAGACAATCTCCCCATGTTCCTGGGAGAGCCAGGGCTGTCTGCCTTGAGGCAGACCCACCTGGCTTCAAATCCAGCTTGGCCCCTTCCTAATTGTATAACCTTGGCTGTGTCACTTAACTCCCCTTGGCTTTCACATGTGGTATCTGGTTTAATCTTTACAGCAGCTGCGTAAGGTCAGTATGACCCTTTATTCTAGTTTATAGATGAAGAAACCTAGTACCAGTGATATGGGAGTTTGGGCTTCTGGTTTACTATCTTTCTGCTTGGAATATCCTTCCTCTCTTGTCCCACTTCTGGGCTGGACTCTGTTCTCACCTCCCGAGGAAGGCCACCCTTCATCCCCTCTGTGCACATGCCCCCAGGAGACAAGTGTTACATTAGCTGCATTTCTGTCATCCACAGATCCCTGCAAAGCAGCTGTTACCACATGATTGCAATCATCTGTCTGTGTCTACCCAAAGATTGTGGGTTCTCCAAATAGGAAGCTCTCATTTGTCTGTTCGTGCCCAGTGCAGAGCGCAGTGCCTGGCACATAGGTGACATTAGCTGAATGAATAAAGTAACAAATGAACATTTTCTTGCCAGCGTGCATGCATGTGCGTGCACACAAGCACACACACACACTCAAAGCAGCAGTTAATGTTTGCTTTCCATGCATGATCATGTTTAACCCCCCAGCCCTATGATGCATTGGTACCATTGTACAGAGAAGGCAATTGAGGCTTAGACATGGAAAGGAAAGGCATTTGAACCCTGGTGAGGACCCCAGTGCCTGTCTTCTTCACCATGACATTATGCTCCCTCATTTGACAATAAATGGACTCTCATAAGACTAAGTGGCATATGCAGGTGCTGACTGACTCTTTAGCAGTGTACCAAAACTCTGGCTGCTGGCAGCAACAGCACAGATGTACCCTGAAACAGTGGGTCTGAACAGTGGGTCTGAAGACAAGGCTATGCCTGAAAGGGAGGCAAGGACCGACTCCCTGCAAGCACTGGCACGTCCTGACCTTCTGCTGGGTTTTCTCGCTGGCACGAGTGTAACTGCACCAGAGGTCTGAAATCCGAAGGGAGAATCCTGCCTTTGATCATGGAGAGAGCACAGGCAATCAAAAGCTGAGCACTCTTGTCTCTGAGCACTTCATGCTGACTGCCAAGTGGCCTCTTCCTGTCCCAGAAAAGATAGCAGAGCTAGGTGATGGCTGAGTTGTCAGGGCGGAGTTGGGGCCTCAGGCTCGGAGTCTTAAAAACCATCTTCAAAATCTGGGAGATGGTTTATGATTTCCTGAGCTCTTGCACATAAGCTGGTGGGGTGCATGTTGTTACTAATCTCTGTGCCACCCATCGAACCTTGCAGGTGCAGGGGAGGTGGGGGAACCAGGTACCCAGGTTCTGCAGTTGGGAATGGACCCTGGTCTCCAGACTCTAAATCTCATGCTCTTTCTGCTCTTTCCTATAAGGATTTGCTAAATTGTTAATGAGCCGACTAAGGAGGAAAAAGTGAACCCACCTGGGGCCAACGTAAAAAAGTCGTGGATGTGTCTGAGAAACTTCTGTTCTTTCTGCTCCACTTGCTGCCTCTCAAGAAGAGGACATGCAAAGCCCCTGGCTCCAGAGGAGCTTCACCTTTAGAGGGCTGGAAATCTGCCTGGGCCCTTGATACATCCCCCCCACCCTCAGCTGGGACAGTTCAGCAGCGAGTTTGGCTGATTTTACCACCTAAATCTCTAAAACTCTGGCTGCTGGCAGCAACAGCACAGATGTACCCTGAAACAGTGGGTCTGAACAGTGGGTCTGAAGACAAGGCTATGCCTGAAAGGGAGGCAAGGACCGACTCCCTGCAAGCACTGGCACGTCCTGACCTTCTGCCGGGTTTTCTCGCTGGCACGAGTGTAACTGCACCAGAGGTCTGAAATCCGAAGGGAGAATTCTGCCTTTGATCATGGAGAGAGCACGGGCAATCAAAAGCTGAGCACTCTTGTCTCTGAGCACTTCACGCTGACTGCCAAGTGGCCTCTTCCTGTCCCAGAAAAGATAGCAGAGCTAGGTGATGGCTGAGTTGTCAGGGCGGAGTTGGGGTCTCAGGCTCGGAGTCTTAAAAACCATCTTCAAAATCTGGGAGATGGTTTATGATTTCCTGAGCCTGCCTTTGATCATGGAGAGAGCACAGGCAATCAAAAGCTGAGCACTCTTGTCTCTGAGCACTTCATGCTGACTGCCAAGTGGCCTCTTCCTGTCCCAGAAAAGATAGCAGAGCTAGGTGATGGCTGAGTTGTCAGGGCGGAGTTGGGGCCTCAGGCTCGGAGTCTTAAAAACCATCTTCAAAATCTGGGAGATGGTTTATGATTTCCTGAGCTCTTGCACATAAGCTGGTGGGGTGCATGTTGTTACTAATCTCTGTGCCACCCATCGAACCTTGCAGGTGCAGGGGAGGTGGGGGAACCAGGTACCCAGGTTCTGCAGTTGGGAATGGACCCTGGTCTCCAGACTCTAAATCTCATGCTCTTTCTGCTCTTTCCTATAAGGATTTGCTAAATTGTTAATGAGCCGACTAAGGAGGAAGTGCCACCCATCGAACCTTGCAGGTGCAGGGGAGGTGGGGGAACCAGGTACCCAGGTTCTACAGTTGGGAATGGACCCTGGTCTCCAGACTCTAAATCTCGTGCTCTTTCTGCTCTTTCCTATAAGGATTTGCTAAATTGTTAATGAGCCGACTAAGGAGGAAAAAGTGAACCCACCTGGGGCCAACGTAAAAAAGTCGTGGATGTGTCTGAGAAACTTCTGTTCTTTCTGCTCCACTTGCTGCCTCTCAAGAAGAGGACATGCAAAGCCCCTGGCTCCAGAGGAGCTACACCTTTAGAGGGCTGGAAATCTGCCTGGGCCCTTGATACATCCCCCCCACCCTCAGCTGGGACAGTTCAGCAGCGAGTTTGGCTGATTTTACCACCTAAATCTCTCTCCCACCTGCTCTTGGTCTTTCCACACTCCAGTATGCCCAGAGTCCCTCCAGTCTGTCATCCACATGACAATCTTTTCAGAATGCACCTGTCATATTGCTGGCCCCTCTGCACTCCACTCCTGCCCCTGTTCCCTCCATGCCAGCCTCACTGGCCTCCTTTAGTTCTCCCTGCTCCCCTTCCCCCTTGGGCTTTGCACTTGCAGTCCCTGCACTGGAATTCTCATCCCGTCTTCAGACATCAGCCACATGTCAGTTCTTCAGGATGTTTTCCTGAACTCCTGACAGTACCCCTTCCAAGGCACGTCATAATCTTGCCTTTATATGTGTGATTATTCACTTACACCGTGAGCACCATGAGGGCAGGGATTGCATCTGTTTCTGCTCATACACCTTTAGAGGGCTGGAAATCTGCCTGGGCCCTTGATACATCCCCCCCACCCTCAGCTGGGACAGTTCAGCAGCGAGTTCGCTGATTTTACCACCTAAACCTCTCTCCCACCTGCTCTTGGTCTTTCCACGCTCCAGTATGCCCAGAGTCCCTCCAGT